ATTTAAGTAACTGAAATTCTAATTGCCCATCTTACTAATGTGGAAAGTCAAACAATTGAGGGAGACAAGCTGGGAAGCTGGCTGCAATCAGAAGGGTATAGGACTGCTGCATTTGTTTGTGAATAGGGCAACAGATATTTCACAGGCTATGGCACAATGTTGTTTAGCACTTCAGTCTCCTCACCTATCACAACATTTAGCCAAATTTAAGTGCTGAAGTACAATAATAGCTGTTCTTACTTTTTAAGAACTATCTCAGAGGCACCTTTACTGAATATCCGGAAACTGCCATCAGAGTTTTTTAACACAGTACTCATAGATTTTCTAACAGAGTTGAAGGTATACACTTTGTACAAATCCTCTTCTGGTATCTCATTTCTTACGTCCTGATAATCACGTTTTAAATCCAAGAGCAATCCCAGCAAGGCACATTCAGTTTTATTTCCAACATGACGTGGTAGGCCACCTTCTTTTTCAGGAGGCTGCAAGAAAAAGAACCTTTGCTGATTAGAGGTTAACTTATGAACCACTGAAGCACAGCATTTAAAAAACAAGGAAGCTAAGGCCAAGCTCAGCTCCGGCATGGGGAAGTTTCACTTTCAGGATGATTACTCTATAAATTCCTATGAGTCACGAGCCAAAGTATACTTCAGACTTTCCTAAGTAACTTCTGTACCTGTTTAGGATCTTTCGGTCCCCTTCTCAGACTCAAAAATCACCCATTAAGTTGGTATCAAATCCCAACATGTCCTTTCTAAAAGGCATTTTCCATTGCTTGAAATAACTATCTGATCAACCAAGTGTAGTCCCTGAATAAGTAGTTTGCATTTTAAAAGCACAGATAAGTTTAAGTAAACTGATTTAAGCAAGCTAAATGGCATTATTTCTGCTAAATTAAAGTACCCTCTCCTGTAGTAACTCTTCCTCAATAACTTAGACTATGATCACATCACCTGTTAGCCTTCTACTGAATAAACTAAGTCTTTAAGCTTCTTAAGTCTCACTACAAGTTCCGTTTTCCAGGCCATGGCCTATTTAACTGGAAAGAGTTCAGAAAAAAGTTTCCAACCCTTTAATACCAGAACAAGTTTCTTATCTCAGCAATGTGTAACATGCGCGTACTAGTGCTGTAAGTAAAGGACTATTTCTCTCAAGATATTTCTGAGCTTATACAGCTATAACATTGCAGTGTAGTTTGCAGCAAAAAAGGCAGAAGCACTTATTCAGCCTGACATGCCTCAAGCAGCTAGAGCTGAACTGTATTAATCATAAGTCAGTGATCCATTCTCATCATTCACAACTGCAAGATCTTGGATTTGGCTGTACTGAATACTCACACTTTCAAAACGTTCACTTTAATGTGCAGTTTAAGATGTCCAGTTCTGGGCTCCCCAGTACAAGAGACATGGACACTCAGGAGCAAGTCCAGCCATGGGCCACAAAGATGATAAAGGGAGTGGAGCACCTGACACATGAGGAGAGGCTGAGAGAGCTGGGACTGTTCCGCTTGGAGAAGGCTCTTTAGGAGAAACTTATCGGTATGTACTGAATGCCTGAACAGGGCAGGCAGGTGGAGCAATGGTAAATACTGCCAAGCCAGACTTTTTAGTGGTCCCCAGTGAGAGGACAACAGGCAATCGGTACAAACTGAAACTCTTGAAATTCCATTTGAACATAAAAAAACATGTTTTTGCTCTAAGGGTGGTCAAATACTTGACCAGGTTGCCCAGAGGCTGTAGCATCTCCATCCCCTGAGATTCTTAAAACCTGACTGGATATATCCCTGAACAACATGCTCTGACTGATCCTGCTTTGAGCAGGGGGCTTGGACTAGACGATCTCAAGAGGTCCCTTGTGATTCAGCCCTCTGTGATTCTGTAAAATAGACTAACTCTGACTGTATTGGAAATAATTTTATTAAAATTGTAGTAGTAAGGGACCTGGTCAGTTTACATGCAGCTACTTTTTTGTTTGTTTGTTTCTATAAAAAGGTCTTTAGAAAATAGACTGTGAAAACCCTCACATGCTATATCTCATGAGTAGTATTTCAGTCTTGTTTTAGAGAAATCAGTGCTGGTGATCTTGGTGTGCTGCCTCAAGTACTGCTATTGAAGATTTTCTTGCAGATGTACCATCTTTATTGGCTGAAAAGTAGCTTTTGGACTGAGGTTTTACTGCTACTCCTGTATAAAGCATTCATACTGGAGGCTTCTACTAAATCTTGAAGTGCAAATTTATTTTTTAAAGCTAAATCCTAATTATTATTATTTTTACTGCCTTAAAAAAATGTAAGTTATGCAACACATTGGAATAACTACCACAAGGAAGCTATGTTTGCAGAAAGTGATGCACACAGAAGTGCTAAATAGTCCAGTATTTAAAATCTGTAACAGTCTGTTATTCTTTTTACGTCAAAATATTTTGGAAGTCTCAAACAAGTTATGAGCAAAGATGTTACAATTCTAAAGCCTACAAACTCATACAACAGAATCTGGAATAAAAATCCATCAAAATCCTCATGTGTACATGCATTTTCTCATTACATTCTAGCTAATGTTATGCTACTCTTACATGTGTACTTTGAAGTAGCACTCAAATTGAGCCAAGATGCTCTTCAAGTAAGGTAAGCAGCTCCACTAAAAACAACTTTAGACACAACTGTGAACTTAAAGGAAGTTATCTTCCTGATATTGTATCTTTGAATTATCAGTTCAAAACTTAAATTATCAGTTCCAACTGAAATAAGATATGTTTGAAGTTTAGGCTCAAATGAAAGGTTAAGCAATTTACAGCAGGTACAAAATACCTTACACTGCATTTTGCCACACACTTATACTTAACTGCCTACCATGTGAACCCCAGACAATTTGCATCTTTTGAGGAAGTTTAGTTACCTTGATTAGAATGAAGAAATCCACTTACCAGTATTTTGGAAGTATAAGCACAATTAACAGAAATTCCTGTCACAAGGTAAGCCATAGTTTTCTCTGGAATAGCTTCTGGTTCTGGTATTTTTTTATAATGTTTTTCATTGATGTAGGCTTGGACTACTGTCATTCTGTTCATGGTCAATGTCCCTGTTTTATCCGAGCAAATAGCTGTTGCATTGCCCATTGTTTCGCATGCATCCAGATGTCTCACCAAGTTATTATCTTTCATCATTTTCTAAGGAAACAAAAGCAGTCAACAGCTAGCCATGACCATTACTTCACATTTCAGAAATTCTCATTTAGGGTGTCCAGTCTCACACAACAATTTCAGAAAACACTCAGCCTTTAAGTTATCTGCCATCTTACAGAGTAAGAATTTGTAGCTGCCACACTCTGTAAGGATTCCTTTAAGTCTCTCATACCACAGTAAAGTCCATTTTGAACAAGGTTCATAAGTACAGTCTTAATCTCTGATATCTGCATGTCACACTGACTACTGATACTATTCGGATAATTACAAGCAAATAGTTTATGACGATCTTTAGAAACAGAGGAGAGATACAGACTGAGTTTACCAGATATGACACTAAAAAAAAAAAAATCTTCCTGCTTACAAAGAAGATCAAGTAAGCTATGTTACAGACTTATCCAAACATCAAAGGATATATATTTCAAAGTCGCTAGAGTTGGACTTAAAATCAAATACAAACTGGGAGCCTAGTGTTTCAGCTAAGACAGTGAGGACTACAAGTTTCATAGCTCAAATATCACTTTAAATTCTTTACTTAAGAGGTTTGGATAGTATTTTAACCTTGAAGAGGCAGAGGAACTTCAAATGATACATACTAAGGCCTCTGCTAGTGAGTACTGTAAGTTACTGAGTTTTAGAACACCGCCTAAACAGCCATTGCTGTTACTATTAGATTTTTCAGATCAATAACCAGTCCTAGCATGCTGAAACAGTAAGAAAATTAAGAGAACAAAGGGCATGAGTTAAAAAAAACCATGCTGTATAATAAATAGAAAGCTATATGTTCTACAATATTCAGTCCTCAAGGAGAATGAATCTGGAAACTTTTGTAGTAGTTGCTTAACACATCAGTTAAGTAGAAGTTCAGATTTACAGAAGAGTTTGTTATTTACAAACTCTAACACATCATTATAAGCAAATGCTACAATGTTATGAGCTAAACTCATTCATCTTTACTTGGTGACAACAAGCTGTCCCTGCTCACTGTTCACACTGTGTATTCAGAGATTCAGAAAAATACTGTGGCAGATTTCTTATGCAGTTCAGGAAAACAGTAAAAGTTTCTCCCCAGTCTGTTGCATATATGTGATGCAGCATATCTCAGCTGAGATTTTACAGCCGATGAATACACACATGTACCTTTAAAATCTGTTATCTATCCACTTACCTTAACAGAGTAAGCTAGAGATATAGTGACTGCAAGTGGAAGACCTTCTGGTACCGCCACCACCAAGACTGTAACTCCAATAATGAAGAACTTCACAAAATACTGAATGTAAATTGGTGTACATTCAGCAAGCCAAGGTCTCTTCTGAACCCAGAAGGTATCAATTACAAAATATAACACAAGGATAATGACTGTGATTGCAGACATCAACAAGCCTTGTTAAAAAGAGAATAAACAGTTTTCAGAAATTATCTCAGAATATTTGGCAATACAGATTGTGGATAAGTGCAAATACTTCTGCCTTTATAGAAGGTAGTTTACAGTTAAGATTTTAAACAGGCAAGTCAGGAAACATTGAGATGGTTCTCAAAGGAGTTCCAACTTCCAATGCAAATATTTCCTCAATGCTTTTCACCTGGAAACTTCTAAAATCATTATTTTCCCACCATTTAATTGAAAAGTGTAGATTTAATTACATCTTGGCCTCTCCTGTTCATAAAGTCAATTGACTAAGCCTAAATCTTTCAACAATTCTACATGCACCCAAATAAATCCTGAAATATTTGAATTAAACCTCTACATACTAGATAATATATCCTAAAATTTGCACTGAACTTCATTGTTGTTTTAGTCTACTTTCAAGCAGCAGTCATCTATCAAATATTTTGACAAGACAGCTGAATATTAGCTGATAGAAGAGTAACAGAAGCTAAAGGATAGTAGAAAGTCAATAAAAATGTTACATATCAGCAAGGCAGATGTTAAGTGGAAATTCCAAATCCTCTGGAAGTACCAGAGATAACCTGGTTGACCCTACATTTTTCAGACTTCAGTCAATTTATAGTTCTCTATGCACGTTACTAAATGCCCTATCTTATCTAAAAACATCTTTCACAACAGTTGTCCAAGGTTATGAAGTTGGAATTTTCTCTCCCAGAAGGTGACACTCTAAATCCTGAATCTATTTAAATCAAGGAAAAAAAAAGCCATCCACATGACACAGTCTGAGGAGCCATCAGCACACTCAGGCACAACGGCATACTTGCAGGGATTGGAATTTTGTGCTTAAAATAATCAAATGAGTCAAGGCTAGCTACTTAAGTTATCCTAACAAACTATGCATGTTCCAACTTTATTCAAATGTTTGACATCAACATACGGAGGGCACTGATACACCATACCTGCTTTGCCAATCTGAACTGCGAGCTTTGTAAGTTTGCCTTGGAGAACAGACTTTTCTTTCTTTGGCAAATTTGCTCTCTTCTTGTCTTTCTCATCTCCATCCCCACCATCCTCACTCTTCAGTGGTTGCATTTCCATGGCTGCACCATCCTGAGCTTTAGCTAGAAGTTAAGATCAAATAAAATTTAGCCGTTTGGGAGTCCCCAAAATCAGTGATACTTAAAAAGATTAATAACACCAGGCTTCACTGAACACCAGTACTGGTTAGCACCTTGTATCCAGAGCTGCCATACTGCACATGCATGTTTAAACAAGTGTATAGGGGGTAGGTGCCCAGGTGCTGGCAGCAGGGCAGCTGCAGCCCATTGAGAAGACCATGGTGGGACAGGTTGTCCCCCTGCAGCCCATAGAGGACCACAGTGGAGCAGATCTCCACCCCACAGCCTGTGGAGGACCCCATGCGGCAGCAGGCAGATGTGCCCTGAAGGAAGCTGCAGCCTTTGAAGGTCTCCTAGTAGGAGCTGTGGCCCGCAGGAGACCCATGCTTGTGCAGTCTGTTCCTGAAGAACTGTCCTCTGTGGGAAGGACCCACACTGGAGACATTCCTGAAGGACCATATCTCATGGGAGGGCCCCCATGATGGAGCAGGGGAAGAGTGTGAGGTGGAAGGAGTAGCAGAGACAAGCATTATGAACTGACCAAAGAACTTCATTCCCCATCCCACTGTGCTCCTCACAGGGAGGAGGTAGAGGAATCAGGAGTGAAGTTGAGCCTGGAAGGAAGCAGTGGAGTGGGGAAGGTGGTTTTAGTTGTTTTTGTTTCTCACCATCCTACTCTATTTTTAACTGGCAATAAATTCATCTTCCCCAAGTTGAGTCTGTTTTACCTGTGAAGACAATTGGTAAGTGAGATCCCTGTCCTTATCTGAACCCACAAGCTTTTTCATTCTATTTTCTGCTCCGTTCTGCTCAGGAGGGGAAGTGACAGCAGCTGGGTGGCCATCTGGCCGCCAGCCATGGTTAACTCAACAAGATAGCTTGAAAATCATTGGTAAAGTTTACTTTTGTAGTATTTAGCTATATGAGACTACCAAGTTAATTCAAGCATTTGTTTTCCAGATTCAGTTATGCCATCTTTAGCATAAGCACTTTGGATCTAAGCATTCTATATGCATTTTCAAAGGGAAGTATGTATTTCATTACATACACTCTCAGAAAATACAAACTTGCAAGGAAGAATCAGAGAACCTGCCTTTACCTTTGTTACGGTTTTCAACAGCTCCATCTTGCTTCTTACCTGTTGGAGAGGGGAACAAGTTGTGTTTTAAATTGCCTATGCATAGTTCATTTCAGTGTTTACGCTTATATATAATACATACATTACCATATGCTGAAACAAGCAACTGCATTTTTTTTTTTAAAAGTGTAGAACAAACTGGAGACAGAGGTTTGACATAACTGAGGCTTTAAAAGTATAAACCAACTCACAGAAACAGCTCACAGGAGTTTTTTTGACTTTTCCCATCCAAGACTGCTGCAGTGTTATGCTACCATAGTTAAGTTTGGACAAATTACTGACATAGACATTTATTACTTGTGAGGAAAGCTTTTTAAAAGGCTTGCCTTTCTTTTCTAAGAAAGAAATATGTGACATTAAAGCAATTCTGATGGCCTCAGTCTTGCTCTCTGTTCTTCCAACACTTGGCAACTGTATCTTACTACTGTAAATGAACTGTAGGATCTCACTTCCCGAATCAGTGCTTTTGTACATGACTACAGAAGCTACTGTAGTATAAAATATTTATAAATCCACACGAAAGCTTAATGGAGGTACAGCGTTGGGATTACTGGATCTGTGCTAACCCTATTTACGCAAGCATGAACATAATCTGTTGGCAATTTACCAACATTAAGCCACTAAGAGAATAGCTCAAGTTCATAATAAACTATTGCTCCTACCTCTGTTCAGAAATGATGTTTAACAAGAGATCATAAAGAAGGAGAGTGAAATAATGAAAGAAATTAATCAGTGAAACATTAAAGGTGACTAGAAGACAGACATAACGTGTAGCTTATTGGGGTGGGGGGGCTAACTACCCTCTCTTGTTTGGGTTTTCAAGTAAAAAGGTTTAGATACTACCCTGGCAAGTGACAAACTTTTATCCTAAGTAGAAAAAGCAAGGTTTATAGTTACTATTTGCAATAACCTGAAATGAAAGCACAAAATTGAGGAACTCAGAAAAAAAAAAAGACTGAAATTTTCAGTCTCACTGGTAATTCATTAAGTCTTTGGCCTTAGGTTATATAGATTAAGATGTATGAGAGTACTCAGGTAGAAGAAAATAAAATTATGAAGCAGCCTGATGTGACATTTAATACCTTCATTACATTATTATTGTAGACATAGTCTGATTTCTATACATAAATTTCCCCCCAAGCATCCTCAGAACAGCTGAGGAACAACAAAAAAGCACATTCACTTTCTCCAGAAGATGCCACTTAAGACATCTTAAGAACTCATCGTCTCCCAATTTAGTATTTGTTCTTTCCTAGTTCTCCTTTCCCTCTTACAAGAGCAAAGTTCTGCACCTGAGTTACTCCTAACTCTTTGCACATACATTTGCTTTCGCTCTGAACCAAGCCATACACAGCCAACTAAAAATAGCCACTTTAAGCTACTTAACATTTACAGAGAAGCTAACTTAGTTTAACCTGAGTTTTACCAAGGAGAATCTTATCAGGTATCTAACTTAAGGGAAAAAAAAAAAGAGGAAGTTGTCTATCCTGGGAGACAAATAAAACCCCACAAGTGTTCATGCCCTAGGATACACTGAAACACTGCTTTACAAAAAGGCTTCTGCTTATAGAATAGTCGACACTGGCAGAATATTAATACAAGCTATAATCTTCTCCATATCTCCTGTAGCAGCTGGTACTGTTGCTTGCTTCCTTCTCCTTCCGCTGCAAGGGAAAAAAGGATGGAAAACATTCCACACTAATCTCAGGAAGTGTTGCAAGTCAGCTTTTACTCTTCACTACCACACTTGAGCTTGAAACTAATTTTGAACTTTCAATTCTTCTTGTAACAATTCTTGTAACTTACTTCTGAAGAAACTTACTACTTTAAGTTTCAAGAAGGGTCAAAATTGTCAAGTATTTGTGGATTAAGACAAAACGACAAAAAGCACAGTTCAATCCCAATTCCTGCACAGACCACACATTTCAACAATTGCTTCTATAGATTGAAGGCCACTGAGATTCCGAAGCACATTTCTGTATGGCTTTCCATTACTGTTTCATATTCCACTGATGAAAAAGTAAAATTTCCTGCCAAGAATCCCCAGACTCAGTTGCATCCAGCAGACCTCACAATAGTTTCTACAAAAATTTCTGCTGTGGTGAAGCTCAGTCCTGAACATGCCTTGGGAGAGCTAGTATCAAAACACTACTTGTTAACATTTCTCAGCTTTGATTCTCAGGATAAAGGCTATGTCTTAGATAAGTGACCTTATTCCAGCTACTGAGCAAGTCTTTCAAAATAAGGAAGATACCCATTTCACACTCCACAGAAGGGCTCCAAAATGCTCTGGGTTATAAACTGCTCATCCCTCCAAAAATACCGTTTACAGACAAGTGTTGCTAGGGATTTGCCTTGTGTGTATCTCTGAGCATTCAAAGTTTCAGCTCTGCAAGAAAATGAGTGGCAGAAGCAACTGTCTGCTCACCTTTTTCAAAATCAGTCTTATGTATGTTTAAGGTATCCACAAACTCAGCAGTATCAATGACACAAGCTTTGCCCCTTCAAGTATCATAGAAGAACTCCATATACAGGATATTTTCTATCAGTCAAAAGCAGAACTAAATACTTACATAGGTTGACTGGTAATAACCTCTTTGCCATAAACAAATATTTGCTATTAGACATGAATGTACTTTGAAGTTATACAAGACGGCAATTTAACAACTTACACATGGCATGGCTGGTTAGGAGTCGTAAACTTTCCAAACTCTGAACAATGAGATCTGAAGTTTAATTAAAAATCCAAGACAAGAGTTGTTAGTAGTGCTGTACTCTTAGGTCACTGGACCAGAGGTGTTTGGTTTGTTTTTGTTGGTGTTTTTTTTTTTTTTTCCTTGTAAAACCTACTGAAAGTATGAGGTTTAAAAAAAAAAAGATCTCTGGCTCTAGGTGACTAGAACATGTTTTTATCCAGTAACATTCAGTTCACCCCCTCCCTCCCCAGGTATTTAAGTTTATTATGCCTACTTTTCTTGTCCTTCTTCTCTTTTTCCTTCTCCTTCTCCTCTTCATCTCCTCCAGCCCCAAGTAAGGTAAAGATTATTCCAGTCTGAGAGTTCACACCTACAGCAGTAACTACCATTCTTCCAGAGCCTTCCATCACATGTGTACCTGAAAGATAGAATCAGGTTTTCCATTGAGACTTGAGCAGTTATATGGCAGAGCACAAAGGAAATGAGTTCTCAAACTTCATGTAAGATGTGTATATTTACCGCTGTATTCGCCTAGAGCTTTAGTTGCCAAAACTATCTGGAAAATAAAACCATAAGCAACTAGACAAAATGTTTGTCAGTTTTAAGAGTCTGCTCCCTTTGACAAAGTTTTGCACTAGTTGCACTGGTTTTGGGTAGTTTTAGGAGTCAGCCTAGATAAGGTCCATTTTGCCAGATTTTAACCTCAAAATTATAAATAACCAGTTTACCCTCACAAACAAGCCACTTCCTTCAAGAATCGTCAAATGTTACACACCTGACAGCAACATAGGATCTCTGTCCAGAGATTTCTTAACATGATCAGATTCTCCAGTCAGTGAGCTTTCATCAATTTTGAGGTCATTTCCTTGAATCAGTACACCATCAGCCGGTAAAAGATCACCTACGAGAGATCACTGGGTATGTTGACTGCAGTTCCTTTTTTAAAAATAAAAGAAAGTTCAACTTTAAAAATATGTTTACCATATTTCACTTGCGCAATATCTCCAACAATTATGTCAGCTACTGGTATTTGGATGACTTGGCCACCTCTGATGACTGTGAATTTCTGTTCTTGTTCAATACGGCTCTGCAATCCTCGAAATTGTTTCTCTTTACTCCAGTCATTGAAAGCTGTTACTAATACCACACAAACTACAGATAGGAGGATTGCTGCTCCTTCAATCCAACCTGCTTCAGATTCCTCCTCTTCTTCACCAATATTTACTGATCCACATACTGTAGAAAACAGGTTTTAGATTCAAGAAAGTTCATGCAGATAGTTATTGCAACAACAAAAACGTTTTTGTTAAACAGAAGAAACTACTAATAGTTGCCAAACATTTTCTGTGCCAGCCTTCTTTGCAATTTTAGATTTATTTGCCGTAAGGGTAACACACAAAGAAGCTAAAGAACCTGAAAGTTAGAGCAGCTCAAGGAACTTAAACCACCTAGAATTTACATCCCTGCTTATCTGAACATAAGAGAAGTCTATACAGAAAGTTACCGTCCTTATTATCTTGTTAAAGGATGGCATAAGATGCTAGATTATACAATTAGTAACCACCTTCTGCTTTCAACACTTCTCACTTTACCTTTGTCTTAACAAGCCAGATATCACTGCAAAAATTCAGTTCAGTGAAAGCCAGATTCCTTTATCTTCCATTTATTAGTATAAATACAGCTTCGTTTCTTAAATTGGAAAGTTACCAGCGTCATATTGCAAATCAAGGAAAATTTAAGACTTGCCGACTCCCCAAATAAACCACGTGACCACAAATTATAAATTGCTTAAATATTTGAGGAAAAGTTAAAAATACCACTTGCACAGAAACATGACTGGATTTAAGTCAGGTCATTGTTCCTGCTGCTTGCACTTTACCTTTGGCATTATTTTGGTCAAAATCATACTAGATCATAACCAGGGAAATCTCATGTTGCACTTTTAAGGCAAGTTAGAGTTTTAGTAGTGTTATCTCAACAAGGAACAATAAACTGCTTTTCCACTGACTTAAGTGTCTCCCATCAGACTTATAGTATAGGCACATTGGACCAGGAAAGTCAGTAGTATAAATAATACAGGTAGATATCTACTTTAAGTGTTTACTTACATGATTCATTTCCTCCTGGAGGCTGGTAAAAAGAAAGGCCCAAGGATACTACGGCTGCAATTTCTAATATAATTAGTGTAACATCCTGTAGTGCTTCCCATACTAACTGAAGAAATGTTTTTGGCTTTTTAGGAGGTATAAAGTTCTTCCCAAAAACTGCTTCTCTCCTTTCTATATCTGCTGGATTTCCACTTAAACCTATTTAATAATAAGACAAAGTTAGCAACACTTATTTGCATTTCACCCTCACATCAGAAGTTTCTCATTCACAGAGTCAAGTCCCACTCCATATTTCAGTAACAATAATGAAAAGCCATCTCAAATATAATTAAGTATTATCCTTAAATTAGAGTCACTATAGAAAACCAGCTATATTTTATAATTCACACTTTGCCAATATAAAGTAAGCTGATGGTCTACCTACTTGCACTTAATATGACATAGCAACAGAGTAATAGTAACAGACATACCTTCATACAAAGTAAACAAGTTTGCAAGACAAGATCCTTAGTAGAGCTACTACTGTCAAGACTTTGAGTAGCACCATGCAGCTTTAGCAAGGCTTTAGCCTGTGAAGCCAGCTCTGGTTCCCACTGTAGGGATTCTGTATTCAGAGATAACATCCTAGGATCCTACAATTAATGTAACACTTATAATGAAATATTTAATATAATTAATAATATAAAATACTATAAATATTAT